TGGAGTGCCGTGAGTTCATTGACCGTGGACTCCTGGAACGTAGAGATGTGCTCGCAAATACCATCAACCATGTCACTGATTTCTCCCCTCGTGTTAGCCACTTCTTGAGAGAGGTTTTGATAGAGGATGTTGTGATGTTCGAAAGACTTTTCCATGAAGTTGTGGAAAGCTAGAACAGATGATTGGATTGTGCCAATGCACTCGAGGTGCTGAAGTTTGGCATCAGTGGATGCCGCTGTAGCATTGTATATCAATGAGCGGCCAAGACTCTAATCCAGAGTGCTTACCTATAGCCTGTTGCACCGAGCTGAGCTGACGGTGTACGTCATTGAGGAGATTTTCCAGGTTTACTTGATTATTAACTACAACATTTTCAAAATCCTGAAGTCGGGAGGAGGTGCTGTCCTGCCAATCATGCAAATGAGTCTGTGGTCAAAGGTGTGGCATATGATTCAACCTACTGAAGTCCGCGCAGTTTGCTGCAGGAGACACTTCATGTTTGAAACATCGGTCTCAATCTTACCAAATTTCACATCGCTCTCCATCTCGATCCTTTCAAGGGACAAGTGGACTTCGGCAATGTCAGAGTCCAAGTCTGAAGATGAGCGGTGGGTTTGCCCCATGGCTGAGCCGCCACAGAATGCATTAGTTTCGATGCAATCTACATAAATTGGACTGACCGCCAGTGCCCTCAAAGTTGTGGCTGTCATCATCCATGGCTATACTAGGGACATGTCTCACTACAGATGAATGAGTTAAATACACAACCCTGCATGTAGGACATCATTCACAACCTTTGTGATTGTCCGGTCTTTGTTGGTCAGATCCAGCTTTGTTGGTAGGATGCAGCTTTGTATGTCAAACAAAGACCTAGAAAAAACGATGAACTACGTGATAGGATAGTGCCTACGTTAGAGTGGGCCGAGGGGCTCAGAGACAGCGAGCAAGGCTGATCAATGAAATGAAGCTATGCAACTGACATGCCTAGTCTACGTGATGACTCCTACTCCAACGTGTAAAGCAATCTAAGTGCATACGCCTAGCCTTCAAAGTTTCACCACCCACTACAAGTACTGGCAAATGGTAGCGAAAATGTCAAGCAAATAAATTTTGGCAAGTTCAAATAACTTACAGGGGAAACACCAGTGAACCTTTTGACATTTGATAGGCACACTTTAGTAAGCTCCTCGTAAGCAACTACCTGCCTCCTGATCAACTCTTCAAGCTCTTGTCGTCTCTGCCTCTCCTGTTGCAATTGAAGACAAGCTTCTTCAAGGCGGTCTTCAATTGAGATATATTCATGCAGTTTGGCCAAAAAAGCATGACCTGCAGGTGTGGTTATTGCTTCGGCTCTTAGGAGTTGGGAAAGCTCATGGGGAGTGACAAAGAGCTCTAATTTGATGGTTTTTTGACGCTAGCTAGCACTCAGTACTGAAAATGTCTTGTTGAAACCGAGGAATGACTTACAGTTGTGGTTGGCCTCATATTGAACGTAATGTTGAGGTTTTACTTTCAAACAGAGAACAGAAGGGCAAAAATGCATTGCGGAGTTTCATGTACCCTGTTGCTTATATTCGGTTCCAACACAATCTCAGCGAACATGGACACACCTGGACTTTACTGCTCCTATGCGACATGCAGTAGGTTTGAGCACAAAAAACGCAACTGCTGCATCAAAGCCCTGGCTCAGCCTGTTTCAAGATATCAAGAGCCCACCCATGAGTCAGTATTAAAGATAGCCTGGCCAGTTTTCCTAGCGCAAGCCAACAATCATTGATCCTCGGTATGAACAAATTCAGTCAACTTCAAGTTGGTGAATACTGTTTGAAAACATGTTATTATATAATCTACCAGTCTTTACCCGAGATACGTAGCGTAGCTAGCCAATGACGATCGTTTTTCGTTTATCGTTTGCTGTATAACTTTTGCGTGCCCTCGGTCAAAATGACGGGTTGACACTCCCGAGGCCTACTAGTAAAAGGACAAGTGTGACAATTGCTTCTGTCTGTAACTGCACTCAATCCTGCTTTGTGGTCAGGTAACGTGGTGATATACCCAGTATAAACTCACCCGATCTAAAGGGATGGTCAAGCAGTGAGGCGTGGCTATGCCACTGGAAACATTCTGCACAAGCGCCACATGACACATCAACTGTATGGGCGAAATGATGATGGGACACGGCTCGGCTTCATCATAGAAAATCCTGCCACCTGCCCAGGGATACATACGGTAATGGTCATGATCCACATCTGTAGGTGAAAGGGCCCTGAAAGGATCAACCACCAGCAAGGTTTGAGATTCATGAGTCAATATTTCTCGTATTCGGCCGGCCGACCAGCTGGATGTGATATCGTCGCGAAATGCGATAAAGCAATGGGCCGTGTTGATGCTGCTCTTCTGATCATTCCTGTCGGAATCCAAATTGTGGACATCATCGTTGCGGGTATTGAAGGCAGAGAGTGTGCCAGATGGCTGCGGTGCCTCTTTATCTTTATGAGAGGGAGTGGTATGGGGTTTGTACAAAATGCCATCTTTCTCCAACGAATTATGCGCCTTTGCGATAGGTGAACAAGGTTTGCCGTGGGCGACTCCCACCAGGCTCCCACCAGAATTATTCTTAGGGTTAGTGTTCCAGGCTTGAATTGCTGAGCGTACAAACTGTGAGAGACGTCGTGATGGTGAGGCATCACTCGTAGCATCAGGCTTTACAGAAAACTTGATTTTGAATGCTTTGGAGTCGCTGATCAAGGTGCCTCTCGAACGATCATCGCGAAATGTCTTAGTGAAGACATCCACGAACTGAGAGAGAATCTCGGGAAGTTGGTCCCTCGTGATCAAAGAACGCAGAGACTGCGCAATGCAGAAGTTTTCAAACATGGTCTTCTCCAGCTGGTCTGTCTCGTCATACTGGTGAGACAATTCTTTTAACAAATATTCATCAAACATACCAAACTTCTTGTTGGTAGGAATCTGCTGTAGCGTGTAATTGATCCGTTCGAAAATCCAACATCGCCAGGAGTGGGTCGGGGCCAAATCTTTGCAAGCAGCTCACCAAAGTGGCCAGACAAGTGGTGGTACGGAGACAGGTTGACTTGTGGGTAAAGCTCCAAGACTATTTTTGAGGATAACGATCCATGTGGGAGATTATAGGATGAGATTCTGGCAGGTGTCATGGTGCGCATGGAGGCAATTTTCACAGCTGTCACAAGATCCATATAGTTTTGGAGCATCTTGTGAAATCGAGACTCGGGATCACTAGGTCCCCAGATACGGACCAGAGTCACTACCAAATGAATGGAACAGAATGACCGCCATTGGTCTGCCGACAGCTTGCCCTACTCGAGTACTGCCAGCTTCTCGAGGAGCTGGTGAAACCCAATATGGAAGCCGTGTGCGTGCCATATCTTGCTGGACCTCTGCCAGAACATCCTGCGCCCAGAACAGCAGATTCATTCTTTCTTGCCCTTCCTCTGTTCTGTGGGGCACCATGGCTGGCCAATGGGGCCTCAATAGGTTTTCCTTGCACCTGACGCTGTAAAAGAGTCAAAACTTTGCCAAATCTGTTTTGCAAAACGCACCCATTGGATGAGCGAATCCGCCAGTGTTTGTTTAGTGTTAGGCTCAAGCTCAGAAATACCGGCTTTAAAGCGAACAGCACACATTGCAACCAGGACTGCATGGCGAAAAGACCGTTTCACTGCCTTGTCGGGTTTCGTAAGAAAAATGTTCTCCGCCGCAGCAAGTTCCTCGGCGTCGACGGGGTCACTCTTCCCCTTCCGAGAAGTCATAGTATGGGTATCATTGCTCGGTAAACGAGGGAGAGGCCAACCCAGTTCTGAACGCTATACAGGTATTTAATTGGTCAAGGTAAGGTGTATCGAAAACCACTATACACGTACATATTCTTCCAGTTTCTTCAAGAGATGTTTCTTCCGCTTGATATAGCGTGGCTCCGGGAGCATCTGAGTGTCACGACAGAGGCGTTGAAGTACAGCTCGTGTCACCTTCTCCATATCCTTCATGGTCCCATGCCGAAGAGTATCCCATGCACCCTGCAATAACACATCAGAATCTCCATCAAACTCTGCTGCTGCTCCCGGATCAATCCATGTCCCGTCACCATCCTTGAGCTTGATATCCATACCCCAGATATCCCGGCAATGACGCTTGAAATCACCAAGAAACATGGCATGCATCGAGTCGATCAGCGTAAAAAGAATAGGATCCCAGTATGGGAGTCGCAGCAGCTCTGACCACCGAAGACCATACATATCGAAAATTTTCTTTCGCTCCTTCTCCGACTTGGCATTCCGCCACTGTTCAGCCCAATGTCGGTGCTCTTGACAGGTACGACGAAGCCAGTGAGAACGATCAAGATTGTTGATGTCCTCCAAACGCAGCAAGCACATTGAGCAAAAATGGTGGGAGCTGAAATGAGCATGTCCACTCATCTGGCGAGCTGCAGGCAAATCACAAATCAATGGAATGACTGCACATAAGACACAGCGACCATTACGGTACTTTGGAGTACTGGCGTAGTATACACCAGGATTCCAGAAGACAAGAAGATCATCCACTAGAGGCTGGAGGACATGATTGATCTGCTCCAGCAGTGGCGCACCAGGTCCAGGTATGATACCAACCAAGAACAAGTTCTCGAAATCATAGCGAATTTCAGGCGGAAGGTTCAAACACACCATGTAGATGCCTCCAACATGAACCTTTTTGCCAGCCTCCTTGAGATGATACGGATTGAAACCATCCATGCATAGGCTAAAAGCATATCGTCCTCCACCAGGTCGGAAAAACGGTGTGCCATCGGGACCAAGGAACTCGCGAAACAGCTTGGTCTCCAAGATATCATGCACAGACTCATCATGGGTAGTGGGTAGCTCGCGGTCAAGAATATCCTCCATACCATCCCGGCACAGAAGGCGGCCAATCCATTGCTTCATGTCATGGTAGAGGTACCGTCTAGCCGGATAGACAAAGCACCGGCCTCGAATGGACCTGGTGTGGCGAAGCAAGCGATTGCAAATCACAGAATCTGGTGTGGATTGGAAGGTACAGCGCTCTGGATAGGAATCACTGTCATCGAGTGGATAACAGGAAAAGCACTTTGGACAGCAAACAAATGCTTTGGAGGCTGGATTAAGATCAAAAGTGTCAATCACTGTCCGTGGATCAATCGGGATGCTAGATGTGATTGCACTTGACGTAGATGACAGCTCCAACAGGAGCTTGATGCAGTACAAGATAAACCGGCAGTGGGACAGAGAGATTCCACAAATGAGATGAAGGATGGCGATCAAGAAGTAACATAGGGTGACAATGGGATTCCGGGTTTTCCATTGGTGTTGGTAGAATTTGCCTGGACATGACGTTGAGTTCTGAATCCTTAATCAACCCATGGCTCCCTTACCTGTTTCGATTGCATTGACTTTTGTCCGTGTACTGTCCCCCCTACATTTCTGATGATGCCACGCCTTTACTTTCATCTGCTCAATTTCCAGGATCTTACGGTCAACTTCACCCTCCAAAGCTGATTTTGCATCCTGAAGCTCCTTATCCCCGTAATCAACAATAGCATCACAAACGTGAAGTAATTGAAGAAGTTCCTCTTCGTACTGGATCAGGAGAGCATTGGACGGAGTATTATATAGCAGGGCATAGGGTCCTTCATTTGGTGTATGGGGAGAATCCTTTGTGTGTTTCTCCAACACAGGGGAATCATGGAGAGCTGGCGAGTGAATAAACACCAAGTCATTGAGTGTGCTTTGAACTCGGTCCCGGCAGGTTTCAGAAGTCTGCAGCTTGTCTTGCAAGTCCAAAAGGGTGGTGAGCCCCTTGAATATCCTATTTTTCTGCCTCTTAGCTGATTTTGATGTTTGGGCATCAGGAGATGCAGTGCGGGCCCGGGAAGTGGGAGAATGCGGGTCATCAGATGCAGGCTGGTTTTCCGTGGATGGTAGGGCAGTTGTGGAAGCAGATGGGGGGAGGAGTTTGCTAGCAAGACGTAGTCGATCATCCTCCAGTTTATGACGGTCAAATTCTTTCAGGCCAACTAGCCGTCCAGCAATGAATGTCTGAGAGATTCCATCCCACACAATTTCAGACGTGCAGCCTTGCGACGTGCATGTGCAGTTCTTAAATGCTGTTGCAGTCGCCGGCTTAGGCTTTACTCCCACTGTACCACCTCCCCGAAGTCGAGGTTTCATTGTGTGGTAGGATAGCGTTGGAGCAAAATGACGACTGCAGGAATAAGTTGTAAAAGTTCGGAACAAATGGTCTGACGAGTGGCGAGCGCAGTGGCAATTCGATCAACCCAGCCTTTCAAAATTTTGCTTTACCGAACTCCAATGTTTGAAAAGTGATTGGGTACTAGTAAGACTACCACGCCCTCGTGCCACACGAATAGCTGATCTAAGGGCCAGTCGAGAAAAGTGCAGTATCTTGCAACATAGAGCGCATTGCAAAGTACAAGGACTTCCAGTTACAGCCTCCTCTCATGTATTTCATCAATTCTCATTGTTGGTGTGTCCTCCCTGCGAGAACCTCTCGAAATCGCCACAGAACACTGTCAAGAACGTTGTAGTAGCTCTGAATCGTGGAGTCCGTTTCGTCGTCAACGTGCTTGCCAACACTTATCCCTGCAAAGAGTCAACATTGAGTCTCAGGAAACGAAGCGGTAGGATTGACTCACAGGCGCTCTTCGTCTGACTAGAACAGAGTCAATCGTCCACTTTTCCCGTTCGGATGACTGATGCTCGTGCTTTACACTATGGACGCCCTCATCGACGCATGCTCCGTCGCGAAACCCAACTCGTATCCTTGAGCTCGACGGGGCGGGTGAGCTCCTCTCCAATGGCATCGCTACTTTGTCGCACAGTGGAGGACCTCGCAGCAATGGTGCCGCAAGCCACAGAGAACAGCCAAAGTTGTTTCGGACCCATGACGTCATGAAGCTTGGCAAAGGCCAACGGCTGCATTACACCATTTACGAACCCCTGGACTGCCAGAATAGTGCCAATGGTTGAGGTGTCGAGTCCCAGACCGCTTAGCGATATCGTAGTAGCATAGAACACGGGTTGTACGGTGCGAAATGCGACATCAACAAGGGCAATACCAGCGTAGCGCCCAGTTGAGATGAGTACACGGCGAACGAAAAGAGTCGAATGGGGACGGGGTTATCATTGATCGAAGATAGTCTTGCGCTTTTTCAAGGTAGCAGTTGGCTGACGTTTATTTGCAGAATTGTCTACAACTGATATGAAGATTCATCCTGTCACACGATGGAACAACATACCTCTTCAAGTAAAGAACAACGACAAACCATGCCAACGCTGAGACAGTAGCAGGGACCGCGCACGGCAAGATAGAAGGTTATTTCAGAACCCCCAAAGATACTAGGGAACCTATCCGCAGGTCGTGCAAGTTCTCCGCCTATGAGCGACCTGTAGTTGTTTCAGTAGGTATAGAGAATGAAATCTTCGCGGAACATACCCAAGTGTGGTACCGCTGGACCAGGCAAGAGGGACAGATGCCCATGCGCGGGCCATATTAGTCGAATCTGGCATTTCAGCAGTCATGCTTTTCATAACGCCGATGCTGCCCAATGTGCGCCATTCAGACAACGACTATCACAATAAGATGTGAACTCTGTCTCAGATAAAAATTCCGCAGAAACACGACAGACCTTATCACCAAGCTCCAGAATATCTTGGACAAACCGAAGCAGAACATAGAGAGAGAGTCCGACTCCGAGCGGAAGATGATGAGCGCTTCGGTTGCAAAGAACAGCGAGTGCTAGACCATAACGCTGAAATTACGTCAATGAAAACACTCTCTACTTATCCACTTACCAACAGCTCAACATAGAACGAAACGAGCGCTTCATCTCCGTAGGTGATCCCAACGTCACGAATGAGCTACGTATGGCGTGATCAGTTGTGACTTTGAATCTTCAATGCTAAAGGCTAACCTGATTAAAACAAAGGCGTTTCCTCGTCTACCTGCTGAGACATGGAATGATGATTGCAGAAGTATGGGAGACACGATGACCGATCGATGGAGCATTTTTATTGTGGGCGGCGCAGGTTGAGTGGCTAGCTTGCTCATTCTCACGTGCCCTTACATAAACACCCAGAACTGCACTTGGCTGACACAGCATCTGCCTGATACCTGGCACATAACAACTCTCCTGCTGCAAGTCTCGATCTTTACAGATAGAGAAAACTAGAGAAAACAGAACACGTCAACAAATGAGAAAGCCAGGAGCTCAAACAGGCGCTCACCCCTTCTGGTCTTGGTCACCGTGATTCCATCCACCCCGTCCGTTGTTGCGCAAATGAATCTCATTGCTCAAGATAGGTACAGCACGGGCCCGTGCATCCTCCGAGAACCCAAGCTCCTCGAGCGCGTTGTAATCCCGAACGTAGAGGAATAATACGTGATTGCTGATGAGGTAGAAAGATTCTTCCGGGGGCGGGTCAAGCTATTCCACATCTTAGCGTCAGGAGATCATCAGGGTGGGGATACGCACCTGATGTCTCATCGCCAAAATCTTGGCGAGACCAATGTGATGGTCGCCGTGAATGTGTTCATGAAGATGCACGTTAGGCCTCTCAAAACAGCCCACGCGCCAGCTCGTAATTCCTGGAGAGTTGCCCCCGTGTGCCCTCTCCTGCATCTCTAAGAGAATGTACCCTGCTCCGGGGTAATGCAGGAGCGTGCCAGAAACTGTACAAATAATTTGGGTGTGGTTCTTGAGGTGGAAACAGGGGTGTACGAACCATTTCGGTACTTGCTAGGAATGGCACTGCCCGTTCCGAGGGTAACCACCGCGACGTCCTTGCCTATGACGTTGGGCACTGTAGCCTCGTCGACGCGTGCTCGTGCCTCAGAAAATTGTGTTCTCGCAGCGTCAGAGAGTGTTGGGGGCTCGCCAGACAATACGGCGGGATGAAATAAATCATTCGCCTCCGCCTCACAGTCTCGTAGTGGGGGCGGGCGGATGTCGATGATGGTATGTGCAAGCCAGCCTGTATTGGATGGGAGATCCGTGGCTGCCACAATTGTAAATTTACGTGACATGATTGGGGGTTGGACAAACCGCACTGTTGAGAGCTTTCTAAGCCTTCAGAGAATATTTAGGCACAGGAAAAATGTCGCTATCCAGCTGGCTGGGCCTCGGCTGGTTGAACGCCGCGCTAGTAAATGTGATCGGATCTGACACATGGTCTCTAGATGCAACGATATGCTGCTCTGTGTCGCATCAGAACCGCCGTTCCACGTCCAGAGCAGCAAGCACTCACATGTACATCGTCCTTGAAACCTTTTACACCGCTCATGCTCAAATACCACAAAGACGAAAGACAACCCTCAGTTCGCGATCTTTCTTCTCCTGCGCCTTGCCCCAATATCTCGAGAGGTGTGTCCAGAATCAATACGACCTATTATTCAGTCAGCATACAGTCTCCCGAATCGAGAGCGCATGGTTAGAACATACCGCGAAAAAGAAACGTACCCCAGGATCCTCACTGGCACCTACAACATCACTCGGTCCAACACTTCTCTCCACTCCATCTTTGCCTACTAAAGTAATTGTCTCTCCCCTTGCAACCCGTGCACGTAACTGCCCAGCCTTCAGACCAAGTGCCTCTGCGCGCTTGGCATCAAACCTTTCCCCAAACCCGCGGGCGAACCACAGCATATGCGAGCGTTGCACGTTGACCAAGGTAAAGGACGGTTAAACCCCGATGGATGGCTGGGAGACATAATCGACCGTCGTGGACGAAGCAGCGGGTTTGGCGGCAGACCCAAGAAACATTGTGCACACAGTGTGTCGAAGCCATCCCTGCACCATATCGCCGACGAATCCTGCCTTGTGGAGAACAAATCGCCGGCAGTTGCTTTACCATCGTCTAACACGAGCCATTCGTCCAACTGCGTAATGATGGCTTGCGATTTGAGGCGGTAGTGCGTACGGATCACGTCGCCGAAGGGCTCTGGAGGGTTCTTGAGGTTACCGAGCATCTGCTACATCAAAGGTAAGAGACAACGGTGGAAGATCAGGCATAGATCTTACTGCGGTCTTGACGTCCATCCTCCGAACATTGGCAGAGTCTGACGAGAACGCCAGAAAATGCTCATAATCGAGTTTAGCTACCCACATTGCCCGACTGGGGAGTAGCACCGTCGTTCGCCCATCCAGGCTCGTTGAGATAAGGCTCTTCGCAAAGGGTCATGGACTGAATGGATATATGGACCTACGAGGTGTGAGCGAGATACCGAATGGCAGTAGAGGAACGCAAACTTGTAGCAGTGTCGACTTTCCAGAGACACACCCTGGTACAGACCATGTGCCAAGAAGAGACGGGCAGACTTTGCCATCCTGAAATGAAATGCGGTGTAAACAGATCACTTCCTGGATGTTCGTACTCACTGCATAGAGATTAGGGTTGAACCGATACTTCCCACCGTTAGCCTGCCAAGGAATCTCAGTAACATAAAATATTCGAATTGAGGCAGTCACTCACCGTCATGTACTTGACGCTTGGAGGAGCGTGGTTATAGTTCGGTCCAAGGAAAATATCGAACAGGAAACTGCAGACTCTCTGAGCACGAGAATTTTGTTTTGCGAGTAACTCACCAGCCATCTTGATATCTAGAACACAAAAGTAAGAACAGCCCACGAGAGCGAAAAGAAGGTACTGACGGAGTTCCTTCTGGACCTATGATAAGCGCATTGATGATGTCTACTCAATTCTCATCGACTCTCAAGAAAACTGAGGAATCCCATGCAACAGGTAGATTCGTCGTCAACACAGCGAGCTGCATGATTCACTAAGTCAAAAAAAACCTTTGCGAAAGAAACCCCACAAAACCTCTTTTGCGATAGCTAGAGAGGGATGTCCGAGGTGGCAAGCATTCGGGCCTCGCTATTATAGTAGAACTTGTAATGCGGCAAGCTCTCATCTATCGCCCCTTTCTTGTCTTCCTCTCTTGGAACAGTAAGGTCGCAGTGTTCGAATCGAACTTGAATAGCCCAGTCGACGTAAGCCTTCTTCCGCGCCTCATCCGTCGTAGCAAGAGTAATTGTTGAATGATCAAACGGTTCCGATGTAATTCTTGGCAGTGAAGTGTTTAATCGGTCAACAAATGCGTCGCCTTTGGTTACGCGTAATGAGCGATCGATGGCACTTGCAGTCGCTAAGATTCGCTGACAAAACAAGAGCAGCTTCTGGTTTTCGTCAGACAAAGAAGGGGTCAATTCTCTCTCCTTGCCCTTCGCGGACGATGTCATGCGTTTCGGCTCCTCCGTCATCTCAAGCACCTCTGGGTCGAGGGGTTTTGATGCCTTCTAACCCCTTGATAGCAGCTTGCGCTTGGGTAACAATTGCTTCGAAAACTTCTCGCGGGCCAGCACTACCTTCATAAATGATTGTTCGTTCACGTATAGGTGCCTTACCCTTGGCTACTTTCTTGGGCGCGACGGATTTGACAGAGGCAACCACCATGATCGGCATCGGCATCATGCCTGCCAACGCTTCATGGTTGGATATAGTCTGTAGTGAGGCATCAATCAATGCAGTTGAACGTATGATGACAGTGGTACGCTACCTCGAGCCTTTCAAATAACTCAAAGTACAGCACAGAACGATCTGACATGTCCGAGAGGGAATCTTTCCTGAGTAGAGTGGTGCAGAGACAATTAAAGCGTCTGCGAAGATGCGCAAGAGCCGTGGGGTGGATCATGTAATCGCTGGTTCGTGCACCTCCCTCTCGGCGCAAAGACGGAAGATACTCGCGGATCTGAGAAAGTATCGTACCGATCTTCTCATCTTTAAGGCGCTGGGTGGCCTGAGCTTCGAGTTGGCCAGAACTTCGTCTTGCATGTTTTCAGAAACGATGGCTGATGATGTTCATATGAAAACTCACATCTTCCTTTACATCTCCAGCATAGCCAATGCCTCCTTTCGATTTCTTCCCCACTGGCAAAGACATGTAATAGCTATCATCATCGTGAAGAAGAGTGCAGATCGGTCTTCGGTCTCTTGTTTGTTTTTGATTTCTGAGAACTCTCTTCGGAGGTTTATTGATGCTGCTCAGAGAACGTGGATCCAAACATAGCGAGCCCGATGCCCAATATAACGCCTTGCAGATTGGAACAATGGAATAGAGTATCATCACCCGAGGAGCGAGGGTCACGATTGCTTCCAATGTTGACTTTACGACACGGCGAAGATGTTGAATATACAGCATAAAATCTGGCTATATGCAGGTCAGCTCTCGGCTTTGTATCGAGGACAGTTATACACACAAAAATAGCAAAAAAAATTACTCTTAGATATCTGAATCCCACGTCCGCATAATTGGGGGCAAGGGCAGTCACCGCTGCTTAGCTCGTTGTAGAGACCGAACAAGAAACCCTGTTCGCCGCCTTCTGGACAACCCTTCATCCACTGACCCTGAGTCATAATCTTCAGCTGCTCGTTGGTGTCTGGCATGAAGGCTGTCTCAGGTTCTTCTTCGACTTCTATGACTTCCTCGCGACGATCCTTCGAGAAGAAGACACCTTCGAAGCCATCAAAATACCGAATGAACAAACATAAAGGTGAACTCGCCAGCATATGGATAGGCTTCAACAACAGTTCTGGCCTTCTCGTCGTAATCAGAGTCATAGTCGAGAGCGTGGTAGGGTCGAAGTCAGGGTGAGATGACTTCCTGCAGCAGTGGTGCAGCAGGGGGAAGGCAAGCGCTTCCGCTTTCTCGATCTTATATTGACGACACTGGTTTCAGAGTGTGGAAGTGTGATCGATCCCGAGGCTACTTCCAGTGACTGGATGTCAGCAGAAACCGGTCATGCGAACCCAGACATTGCAAGCCATAAGTTGAGCAGCACATGGCGTGCATGGGCGTCAGGCCATGCAGAACAATACGAAGTAGTTAGACCCCGGGATGCCGATCGAGGTCTGATGAGGGAAGCGGAGGTCGTGGGAGAAAGAAATCGTGGTCTGTCGAATGCACTCAGCACTGTGAGCAAAACACGTCAGACAACTGGGTGGAATGCTCACCATAAAATACGACCTGTCCACTCTCCAGCATCTCAATCTCTGTGCCGCCCTGCAGGCCGCTGAACTTCTGACGCCACTCCGCAACACGCTGGCCAACCATCTCCTGGTAGGGTTCAATACAAACTCCCGTTTCTCCAAAGGCGGAGCAGAGCCGATTCGGCAGAGATAGTTTTGCCGCTGGAGCAGGGCCAGCGGCCTCAGCCTAGAGCAGGGAAACCAAGCTACGATGATGATTGATCCTAAGTAAGCTACGAACATGCATGAACCCTACATGCTGACTAAGCCATGGAAAGGGCCGGTGGAGACCCCGAATGGCGAGCCCCAGTCCACCGCTTCCAGTCGATGCGCCAATACTAAAGACTTTCTCATCAGATGTGTACAGCCATATCTGAATGATGGACGAGTATATGCTGTCGAATTCCTTGTCGTGCAGGGCAGACAGCGGGTGCGGCTGGAGCTCGAGAAGAGGAGTGGGAGGTGGTAAATTTTCTGGGAGAATCAAGTGTTTGTAGTCGGGTCTCGGCATACAACCATCGGTCAGAGGAGACAGATATGTAGTAGTTCGGGGGCACGGGCTCAAACACGGGAACCATGATGGTGACGTTATGTTCATCCTCTGCATAGCGCTGGCCGTGCATCGACATCTTCAACCGGAATGTCTCAGCCGTTCCGTGGGTCTTCTCGTCTCATCGGAAGTCAGGGACAACGGACAAGTCGATACAAAGAAGTGAGCGCGTGATGAGCTGCGCTTTCGCTTGCAGCTTGGGGAAGCTGTGAACCCAGCGATGCACGAGCCCTCCAGCGTTTAGGATGCCGTCAAGCTCACCAATTTCAGGAGGGTCGAGATCAAAGTAGCGATACTATGGCCAATGAAAAAAAACAAAATCTTAGCACGTGCCCCACCTGAACCGATATAAAACATACGAATTGTTTGTCCTCCGCTTTTCTGATGACCTCCTGACGCAATGCGGCCAAGCACAGTGCTCTGGAAATGACCACATGTACGCTCGTACTTGATGAGATGCCATTTCTCCAGCAGGACGGCAGCAGAATGTGCAATGTCAGCGTGTTTCTGGATAAGCCCTTTGTCGTCCTCCTGCTAATGAACACCAATACCATGCAGTTCTGGGGACTTCAGCATATAAACATAGCTGCGTAAAATGTCAGTGCTTTTACTGTCGTGAGAACAAGATGAGCTTACAGGTAAGTGAACGGCCTCGTCGCAATTGCAAACGGTTCCGAGAACGATCTCTACGTTCAAGTTGCCCGTCAGCTTCGATACGAACTGGGACTCCATTGGCAACTGCCAGCTCGGCGTGGTTCGTGATGATGATACCCTCACCATATGCAT